CTGTGGCTGCACCTGCTGCGGGTCTCGTGCTGTGGTCCGTGGGTCTTTGCCGCTCTCCTCCTTTGCGGGCTCTTTCCGCGGGTCTGCCGCTGCTCGTCTCGTCGCGGCTTGCTGCTGCATACGGCCGGTCTAGCCCGGTGCGGTGGGAGCCGTGCGCATCCCTGCCTCCTTGTGCCTGTACGGTGTGGTCCCGTCGTGTTGTCCCGTCGTGTTGTCCCTTGTCTTCTGGCGCGTGGGTAAGTATGAGATCTGCGGACGGTTTATTCCCCTCGCTTTGTACTGCAGGCTCAGTTGGCCCCGTGCTGGTGGGCAGGCTTCAGTTTAAAGCCCTCGCATTTGTCTGCAGGCTCTCTTTAACCAAGCTCCGTTAAATCTTCACTCTGACTGCAAGCTCCGTTAATCCCTCACATTGGAATGCAAGACCTCAGTTTTAATCCCTCTCATTGGACCGCATGCTCTCAGTTTTAATCCCTCACTTTGGCCTGCAGGCTCTGTTTAAATCCCTCTCCTTGGACTGCAAGCGCTGTTTAAATCCCTCTCGGACTGCGGCTCCCAAAATGAATCCCTTACATTGGTCTGTGAGCTCTCAGGTTAATCCCTCACGGAACTGCTTATAGCTGGAAATGCTTATAGCTGGAAATGCTTATAGCTGGAAATGCTTATAGCTGGAAATGCTTATATCTGGAACTGTTGTACCGTATCTGGAACTGCTTCATATGGAACTGCTTATATATGGAACCGCTATATTGGAACTGCTCATATGGTGCGGTTATACCTGGAACTGTTATGCAGTACATGGAACTGCATATATGGTACTGCCTATATCTGGAACGCTATATATTAAAAAATAAATAAATGAATAAATAAATACATATAAATAAATATAAATAAATAAATATAAATAATTATAAATAAATATAAATAAATATAAATAAACATATATAAATAAATATAAATAAATATAAATAAATAAAAAAAAAAATGGTTTAAACTCCTCACTTGGGCTGCGGGCTCAGTTAATCCCTACTTGGACCGTAAAAATGTTAAATCATTTGGACCGTAAAAACCTGTTGAAATCCCTCACACTGAACAGCTACAACAACATTCTACTGCCGTGGCTTTGATACAGGATCATTGCTGTTATTATCTACGGACGCTGCAGCTGCTGCTGCTGCTACTGCTGCTGCTGCTTCATACGGCTACTACTGCTGCTGCTGCTGCTCCATACTGCTACTGCGCTACTACTGCTGCTTCATTTACTTGCCATCTCTCTTCACTTGCATCTCTTTTACTGAAACACTGATCAGCTACGACAACATTCTACTGCGTGGCTTGATACAGGATTATTACTGTAATCTCTAAGGATGCTGCTACTGCTGCTGCTGCTGCTGCTGCTACCGCTACTGCTGCAACCCACTCTCTCAGAAGCTTATCCTGTTTCTAATGGATGCTGCCCGGCTGAGTATGCCGCGCCGCGCTGGCCTCGTACCTATGCTCCCAGGGTCGCTTCGGCGGTCATGCTTCATCTCTCTACCTAATCTTCTGTTTCTATCAGATGCAGCTGGCCGAGTAGCTGCGCTGAGCCGTCAATCGGACTCCTAATCAAAGGCATCCATACCTGTATTCTTCACTCTTCTGATCACAGGCTCCCCCATCATGCTGCCCATCCTGCAGCGGCTCTGAGCGGCACTGAACTCTGGCTCGTCTTCCAAGTACATGTCTGCCCTCCTCGCAGCATCTTCCTGCTCGCCTTCTATGACTTCTCTGCATAAGCGTTCACTACTGCTCGCTCAACCTTCATGCGGTCCGAGACACGGCTTCTCGACCATCCTACTATCCTGATTATCTACTCTCCGACCCAAGATTCTAAGCGTAAGGTCGCCTGCAACATCAATGGCCCTCTCCGATATGTCTCTGCCCCTACAGGTCTCTGCTTCTACACGGACGTGCCCCTTCCGTGGGTTTTGGGGGATTCTTCCAGGACCATTGGGTTGCCGGGCCGTGGCCGCTACTTCCACCGGAGCATCTCCTCTGCCCTACACGAGATATTCCCAGTGGTCGTGGCCTGCGCGCCGTGGAATCACACGTGGCAGAGAAAGAGGATCTCTGTCATGCGCGATAATCTCGACGTAGTGGAAGCATCACACAAAGGTCGCTCTTCTTCACCCAACATAATGTCCCCTGACCCTTTCAACCTTCATCTCAAACATTCAAAGACCAAGGCACCTGCAACATAATAATAGCTCGCTCCGACACATCTCTCTCCAGACAACCTTCCCACGACAGCAACCTGGTTCAGAGCTCAACTAAGATCCCTACTGCTCCTCTGCAATTTGTCTCCCCAGCTCTATACAGCCCACTCCTTCAGGACAGGCGCTGCCACGCGCGCGGCCTCGCTGGGGCTCCCCCACACCTCTCTGCAACAGCTGGGGTGCTGGTCCTCTTCGGCTTCTCCGCCTACATCAGCCCAGACGCGTCCGCCATCCTGGCTGCACAACGCCTACTGGCTTCCTCGCAAGCTCCCAGCAAAGCAATACGAAGCAAAGTAAGTGAAGCAATAAGATTCTGGTGGCGGCACGCACTTCTCAAACACTCTCCGCTGCCGCAGCGTCTGACGGAACGTGATGCGAACGCTCACGTTCCCAGCGCGCAAAAAATAACCCACGAGGCATTACACTCGCCTCCGCTCTCGGAAAGGAGATCTCAACGGACCGTTATTTCTCACCCCCGATCACCTCCCAATGTCATCCAACGGGTTCAGAGCCCAACTAAAGTCCGTACTGCTGCTTTGTAACCTGTCTCCCCATCTCTACGCAGCTCACTCCTTCCGGATAGGCGCCGCCAGCAGCCGAGTATCTGCAAGTATTGATCACAGTAGATAGCGGTCACAGCATATAGCGATAGCGGTCACAGCATATAGCGATAGCGGTCACAGCATATAGCGATAGCGGTCACAGCATATAGCAAAAAATGGTTAGCGGTCACAGCATATAGCAAAAAATGGTTAGCAGCATTGCGCTGGCGGTCACAGCATAGCGATAGCGGTCACAGCGCATAGCGATAGCGGTCACAGCATATAGCGATAGCGGTCACAGCATATAGCGATAACGGTCACAGCATATAGCGATAGCGGTCACAGCATAGCGATAGCGGTCACAGCTTAGCGATAGCGGTCACAGAATAGAGTAGTCACGACGTCTGTCCCCTCCAAACCAGGCTTCGAAAACTCCATCAACACGCAGCCTTTTTGGGGATTGTGCGCGCTCATCGCAGGAGCCTTTCCGATCCGAAGGCCGCACCGGGACCTAGGGCGCCAAACCTCCTTTCATAAAATACTCAACTCCCTGTTTCTCGTCTCTCCAAATTGAAATGCAGCCCGCGAAAATTCAATTTGGTAGACGTTAACCAAAATTACCCCCTCCAGGCCGGCTGTCATCCCCAGCCTATCGCTCAGCAAACGCCCCCTTCCAATCATCTGTACCGACTCGCAGCCGCATAAAAACGGAGCAACTCCCACTACCGGCCTCCTGAAGCCTCGCAACCACCACCTCCCCTCCTCCTCCTCTTCACCCTGCCTCCAATCTGCCTTCAATTTCTTCCCGCTGCCAAATGCCGCCACCAGTGCCTAGGTCCCGGGGGATTGTGCGCGCTCATCGCAGGAGCCTTTCCGATCCGAAGGCCGCACCGGGACCTAGGGCGCCAAACCTCCTTTCATAAAATACTCAACTCCCTGTTTCTCGTCTCTCCAAATTGAAATCAGAGCTGTTCATCAGAGCAGCGGTAGAGCGGAATCAGAGAGAAAGAAAGGAGCAGAGTTTGTGGATTTAAAGAAAACTAAAGGATTTATTAAGAAGAAAAAAAGTTCAGGATGACAAGGGACACTAAAATCCCCACAAAATCCGATATTTCTGAAAGCTTTAGGTTCTCTGTCAGCTGAGGTCGAGCTGGTTTAGTTTACATTGAGTTCTATGGGACTTTTTTCTGGGTAGCCCTCGTGAATTTAGTCTGCACTACCAATGGCGCCCCCTGTGCCCATGCTGTAAGCTAGTAATACCCTATCTAGTTATTATTATAGATCCATGGGTGTTCGCGGGACAAGACCACAGACGCTGGACTCTGGAGCTGGACTCGGGAACTGGCTGCGAGCTCTGATTCGCTGTTTTATCTGTCAATATAGGTGTATGGTTGCACAAACCTGCTGGTCTTATATCCAAGGATTATGTTCTTTGCCTCTGATTTTATCTTTTTTCAAATTATTTTCTTTCCAAAAAGAAAAGAAAAATTTGAGCGCCCATATTCTGGAATAAAACCTACACTATTTTTCAAGAGTAGGTTGTTGAAAGTAGGTTTTGTTTTTCTAATTCCTTGGAATCATCCAGATGACATACCATGTGTAACAAATTGCAGTCTATGTTATTACTGCAACTTGACAAAGAGATACAACATGTCTGTCAAATTGAGTGGTATGTGTTATTACTTTATTAGCTATTGATCATGTGCTTACATATGTGTAATTAACAAAAAATAAAATACAAAGTAATTTTTATTATTACATTTACAATGTAGTGTTAGTGGAGCGAGATGTCACTGCAGATTAAACCTCTCCAAGCCGCTTTACATGTGCTTTAACGCCTTCAGCAAATAGTTGTACAGTGTTGTTTTAACAGTAAGTGCATGGATTAGAAGCCAGTTGTGACAGTTACAAGTTAAAGTTTGGACAGAGATCCATAGATTCCAGGGTGAATACTCAATTGCATTTGATTAATCATGATAATTACAACGTGTGTGATCCTGGATTTCTCCTACGGGGGATCAATAATGCATTTATCTATCTATCTATGTAGATTATGGCCGACATGTGTTACAAAGTACTTGATATATTTCCTCTTTCTACCATATTTTACAATCAGAGGAGTCAGAGTGTATACAGTAGCAGAACGTGTTGAGCATCTCGCTGCAGTCACTTAAAACAATAACTGGCTCAGAGTTGCTGTTTCTGTTCAGCTGCAGGGCTCCACAGTGACGGTTGGGCTCAGGACAAGACGGAAGATCTGGCAGGGTGAGAACTGCCCCATCAGACCAGAACCAGGACCCTCCAATGAAGCGCAGACCCAGCCACACCTAAGGAAAATCACAAACTTAATCACAAGTCGAGAACTGCTGCTTGATGGGGGTCTCGTTGCTGAATAGATTACCCCCTGCAGTCCTAATGTGCACGGCAGAACCAGTGCTTTATCTTTTACTCACAAACCGTTTTTGCATCTGTGTGTGTGTGTGTGTGTGTGCGTCATGAGGGGTGTGGGGAATACTATGATTATTAGTGTGTTAGGAAAAGATATGTATTAAACATTCCACCAGCCCCTGACAACTTGCATGAACCCTGTATGTTTTTTAGACAAAGGTTAAGCTAGCAGGGCTTTGTTAGTAGGAAGAAAGCCTGTATTTATTATATTTTATTAATAATAACTATAATACAAACTTATGAAGGGCTTTTGTTGGGCATTCAAAGACGATTAACAAAACAAACTTAAAGAAAGGCAAAGTGAAAAAAGTGGGTTTTAGAATTTAAAAGTATATATTGAGTCTGAGTTTTTAATGGGTTGTCACAATGAGTTCCAGAGAGTGGGGACATCTGCGACAAAGGGTCGGTCCCCCAAGGTTGTGTCGGTGTGTCTGAAGCAACGGGTGGGACAGTGATGATGGTGAGGAGGGCTTTGTATTGGATGCGATATGGGACAGGGAGGCAGTGGATTTGTTTGAGGACAGGGGTGATGTGGTCTCTGACGGGCAGCACAGTTCTGGATGTACTTGTACTTTTTGCAGATGTGTGGAAGGGATTCGATGGAAGAGGCTTTTCCTGCAGTCGAGTCTGGAGGTAATGAAAGCATGAACGAGTGGAAGAGGCTTAGGAGGCTTAGGTGTGAAAACAATATTCTGGTGATGAGAATAATAATTTCACTGTGCTTTTTTTATTATGGTAAAATGTTTTAGATAGTTGATGGAATTGAACATGTAAAAGAGACTAGATTGATCCATCATGTTTCATTCTATCTAGACGTGGACTTGCCTTCTCTGTGGTGGCATTGCTGGCCGCATTCTGAAACGACTTGAGTTCTTGTGTGTTTCCACTGAGGAGGGAGTTGAAGCTGTTGTTATGAGACCTGCAGCGATGGAAGGACTGCTCCCAAGTGAGGAGCTCCTGGACCAGCAGCACATTGCTTTTAGCACACAGAGAGGGAAAGGCCTCGGAGCAGTTTTGATGTGAAAGGACTTTGTCTTTAGACCAAACAAGTCCACAGTCACCTGATCCTGAAAGTGTCATAATAACCAATTAGAACTTGTTCTCAATGCCTTAAAGGTAAAAAATATATTGTATATTGAAAACCACTCACCATGGTGGTACTGTCCAATCCAAACAGGAAAGTTTCTTTGGCCCAAAAGTGGTGAACTTATTGACTTCAGATCATATTTCATGGGAAATGTAAGGAATCTATAGTTTTGTTCCACACAATATGCCTTTGCTTCTTCCCATGTTTTGGTTTGGGGAACAAATATATATGACCATACATCATCACGACAGAAGAAGAAGTGGCGATTTGTGCAGTCATCATCAGATGGTCTAAGGAGATCACAGTTGCATTAGAAACATACATTTTATGACAATTACCTCAATTGAACTTGAAACCGTTTTTAGCTGATATAAGATGAACGTCTTTTTAATTGTCTAGATATGTTTTCTTTTATTCACAAAAAATACATCCCAGATATGTGGAGAAAAAAGAGGAAAACATCCGAGGCACTCTGATTTTATATGAATAATAATATATCCCTATAAACGGCAAATATTGTGACGCCTTTCAACCATTCTCGGGATGCGTTTTAAATAAATGCTTCCAATCTATTCGTCTTTGTAGTCCACATTATTTTCCCACAGATCCTCAAAGAGCACCTGATGTCTCATGTATGTCCTACTTTTCTGAACTATTATATTTACGCTATTTAAAAAAATTATTATAATTAAAATAAGACTTACGTTGGTGTTTCATAGAAGGCCTGCCCGCACGGTTGGCCGTCATTTGGTGGGTCAAAATTGTCCTGAATATCCTGAAGCACATCATGGCCATTGTCCCAGTACCAATTAGAACCTTTCTTTCTGAGCCCGATCCATGCGTAGAAATTTTTCAAGTCCATCCGATTCACTTCATCCGACATCACAGCTAGCTGTTGATCTTCCCTGTAGGATTATGCAGATATGTAAATACATTCACAGCTCTGCTTTCTGGCCCTGTCACCTGATCATGTCATTCCAGTGATGATCCTGCAATGCCACTACAGCAGGAATGTCAAAGTCAATACATCAAAAAAATGTATTTGCTACAAGCCGAGGGCCAGAACTGGTTTAATGTTTATCAAAACATGCATACTACTGTATTTGTCCACCCACAGCGATGTAGCCAATCATTTCCAATATTACATGTGAGTGATCCTTTAAACTAAATGATCGAGGCGTGGAAATTGATCTTCAATCAAATGCAAATTAATAATCTGATTAGATTCTCAATCCCTCTCCCCGTATATACATTTTACTAATCAACTGATTGGTATTGAACATGCAGAAACCATTTACCTTTTACAACTTTCTTGTGCATCCATCCATGTTCTGGGGAAAGGTTTATACCATAGATACTGGTGGAAGACGATAGACTGCGCTGGTCCAGAGCCAAGCCACAAGAGAAATATGATCTTCATAGCAGGACAATTAGGATCCATTCTGGAAGAGTCATTTTAGTCAAGTCATTTTAGCTCTATGGTTAGTTGAAACTTCATAGCTTAACTTTTAATGGTTTTAAATTGTGGGACATGAGAAGACCATACACCATAAGTACCATACAAATCAGTCTGATTGGATGGGGGCTCTAGTGCAGGGCATCCTGGGTACCTGCATGATGCTATGGTTGCTCAGAGGAGTAATCGAAGCAACAATCGACTGTACAATAGACCTGGATGAGTTTTCTGCTGCTGGACACCTGGATTTCTCCTACGGAGGTCAATAAAGTATCTCTATTAATCAAATACAACCCACACCGGGGCTAAATAGATAGATACAGTAGATTCTTTATTGATCGCCGTAGGACTGGCATGTCCAAACTCAGGCCCGGGGGCCAAATGCGGCCCTCAGTGTTATGTGGCCCTCTGCCTTGCTAACCCTAAGTTGTCTATGATATTATAAACACAAGTGCACTGTGTCATCCAGCCAACTTCAGCTCAGCCAATATAGACCTCGTTCTAAAGCCCAGTCCCAAATTCAGTCGTTATTTGTACATACGGTGCTGACAAGGGATTTGATTGTGTCACAAACTTCCGTTAAAGGTGCTAATGTAGCCGGTGAGATAGTAAGCATCAGCTCTGTTGTAAATCATTTTAAAGCTCAGTCAAGACAGTTTTTCAGTCTGAGATGTCGGCCTCTGAACTAGTCTGGTGAACTAAAGTAGCCCTCTTTCTAAAAAGTTTGGACACCCCTGCCGTAGGAGAAATTCAGGTGTCCAGTAGCAAAATAAAAAATAAAAAATTATCATTCTAAAAAGATAACAATAGTAATAGAGTAATAGAGTAATATATAGAGCCTGGATCCCGGGTCCTGAAGGGACCTGCATTAGTTGTAATTGTATTTGTACAACCAATGCCAAGCTGGATGATATTCCTGATTCCCGGAAAAAAAAATTCAGTACTACCCATTATAATTTCAATGTTGGCATGTAAATGTGGAGGAATTGAAGTATACAAAGTAGTTCAATTCTGAAACCAGCAAGTTTGAATGTGTTTAATGTTGTATTTTGCTCAAAGAGTAAATAAAAAAAACTATAATTGTATGACTGTAACATGTGCAAGATTCTCTGTAAAACAAGTCACTTTTTTTAGTTTGCTTCAGAGTGAACCTCAGGACTTCTCAAAAATGGAGACAAGAGTAAAACATGAAACTCTAAGAAAAGTGTTTCTTAGTTTCATATCAAAAGAATACTGCAGTTACTGGAGTTCTTCTGGAGTTCTATCCTGACTGCTTTTTGGCACTATTCACTCACTTTACTCCATTAGTGTCGACCCCTGCAGTGAAATTCATCAATGCAAAATTACATTTAGTTTTTAAAAATTGCAATGTAGTTTGGAGATTTGTCCAATGACCTTTGTTTCAAGAAATGAGCCAAATAAACAGATTTTGACTTTGTCTTGAAATACAACTACTGGTTGAGATGGAAAAGATGACTCCCAGTTTCTAGCGCCCAAACATGATCATCAAATCCACCAGTAGTTTTTTCAAGAAGTCAAATTCTTAGACTTTGAAGGTTTTTTGGTTCAAATGTAGAATAATTATTAGATTTTTGTTGTTGTTGCTATTTATTCAAGAGAAACAACAATTTGGTTGTGTCAGGTACATTCACATCTTCAATACTCTGACAACACAGATATGAAACAAATGATCATATTCAATGAAATGAACATAATTTACTAATAATGACTCAATCGTTAACTGAACATTTGTGCAATGATGAGTAAATGTTACATCCAAACATTAAAGAGATTCCTTTTACAATATAAAGGTGTATCATCATTGCTCACTATTTCTTTACTAATACAGTACAGTATTGTTGCAATAAATACAGTAAACAATCAAGGATTGAAACTCACCTGTGTGGTGTGGACAGTGATCTGGTCAGCAGTGCACAGTATTCAAAAATAATGTCAAAATTCACATTTGACTGTGAAAAGACGAGGGGAATATTTTACTGAAAAGAGGCAGGGCCTAAGTGCCTGAATGCATCCACATGCAAATGCTTCATTCTTCAACAACATGCACTTCAATGTAAACTAAAATGAAAACTGCTAAAGTAATTCCAAATTTTAAGTCTGGTAACAAGCACGTCTTTAGACTAACTTAAGACCTGTCTCTCTCCTTCCACAGTTTTCAAAAATCCTTGAGAAAGTTTTCAATGATAGACTTGAAAATATCATTGAAAAACACTGCCTGTTAAATGCCGGACAATATGGGTTCAGACCTGGAAGATTGACCTCTATGGCCATTATTGATGCTGTAGAGGACATTTCTCATTCATCAGAAAAGAAAAAAATAGCCGTTGGAGTTTTTATTGACTTAAAAAAAAAACTTTGATACGATTAACCACACAATTTTCCTTGAAAAACTAGAGAAATATGGGATCCGAGGGGTAGCAGGGGATTATAAAGTGATTTGACTGAGAGACAGCAGTTTGTAAAGATGGGTAAGTACCAATCTACAGCAGAGCTATCACATGTGGACTGTCACAAAGTTCCATATTGGGGCCGAAATGATTTAATTTGTATATCAATGACATCTTCAACGTATCTGCACGACTGAAACTGATTTTATGATAGTTATGATGACGTTATAAACACTGTTAAGGTAAGGTAAAAATTAAAACATGGATGAATAATAATAAGCTATCACTTAACCTTGAGTAATTATGTTTGGTAACCGTAAGGAAAACCCAAATATATCCATAACTCTTGATTGTAAAATAATAGAAAAGGTAACAGAAATTTAATTTTTGGGAATATTAACAGACAAAAATGTAAACGGAAAATCTCACATTAATTACATACAAAAGAAAGTATCAAAAATATAGCTATTATAGATAAAACAAAGTGGGTACTTAACTATAATGCTTTGTACATCTTAAACTTTATTTTAATTTACCCTTATTTGTCATATGTTGTAGAAGTTTGGGGTAACAATTACAAAGCTGCCATAAGAACATTGGACGTGCAGTACAAGCGTGCAGTACACGATATCCACACGTTAACACACGTTACCTGGAACACACAAATTCACTCTTCTTACAGTCAAAATGATTGAAATTGGTTGATTTGGTGGATTTCTGCACAGCTCAACTGCTTTACAAAGCCAGTAAAAAATCTCTACCAACCAACCTTCAAGCTCAATTTATTAAAGAGAAGATGGCCACAATCTGAGGGAAAATGAGGCTAGCATCTACTCTGGCAGTTTTCAAATCAAGGTTAAAAACTGTTCTGTTTAGCTGTGCATAAAGCTGAAGGGTTTTATAGATTATAGATACTCTTTTTTTTATGCGTTGTGGCTATTTATTTATTTTAATCCCGTTTGTGTTTTTAATGTTTTAAGGATTTTAATTACATACGATTTTATTCTGTTTTTAATGTATTTATTTTTTGTATTTGTATATGTCGCTTTTGATGTTTCTGATTTGTTTGATATGATGTGGGTTGTGAGTTGTGTGCGCTTTGAGTTGGAAAGGCGCTATACAAATAAAAGTTGATTGATTGATTGATTGAAATGGTAAACGTAAACCAAATGTTGTAGGAACCACGAGGAGAAGTATGTGTGTCTCAGTGTGTGCAGTGCGACTGTGGAATAGTTTGGATTGAAATTTAAAACCATATAACAATTTAAAGCTAAATAGAAATAAACACTTTTACAACAGTGCAGTACAGAGTGAAAATCCTTACATTAGTCATGTAGTATTACCACCATCAAACATCATTTAATAACAATAACAGTGTCACGGAGTTAAGGTTTGCATTCTCTATTAAGTCATGTAGTACATGTATTTTATTGTTGAGTGTTGAAATGTGCAAAACAGGGTTTATCTTCTACACATTAAGCAACCACCAAACATTTATGCACTGGACGAAAAAAGTACTTCTTCCCACTCCCTCACAAACTTTCTTGTTGTCTTTTTGTTCTTGTATTTTTTGTGATTTTGTATTGCTCCTCATATATTTTTTATTTATTGTTGTTTTGTTATTTGTTTTCAAATGAAAATAGAAGTACAGAGTGTACAAAGAAGCTTTATTTTATGTGTTATGAACTGTCATGACGCTGGATTTGACAACAAAGTTCGAAATAATAAGATTGATTGATTTAATGTGCAGTTACAGTGAAATATGACATGTTTTATTTGCTTGACAGAAAGTTCACAACCCTTGTGTTTAGGCAAGATGCAGGCTCCCTCATAATCTGTGCTCGATGGACGTCATGTTGAAGACCCACATAATATGATGCCAGAAAAGTGAAACATCTCCATTATGACCCAGTCAGTGCGACATTGGAGTCGGACTTAGCATATAGCACATGTGCACAGGGGCCAGGGCACTGCATCAGGATCTGCCCTGATGTGCTGCAAGCATGAGGGGACGTGCTCGGATCAAATTCAAAATTATAATGTTTCTACCACTCAAAGTGATCAATAGTCGAGTTCAATCCAGTGAGCCCGCCTTGAACCTGGGGGAGAGTGGCTCGGGTGTGGGTCTTTGTACTCAGGCTAACGTCCATGCTAGCAGCTCTACGTTTAGCATCGAGGTGATACTTGATGTTCTGCGGTGATATGCGAACACAACCACGCTCTTCTAATGCCTCCATATGTTTTAGAACAACATTTCCCATCCACGGGCTGAACCGAAGGCCTCTCTTCCAAAGGCGTGAGGTTGATCAATGGACCCCACACATGCCAAGAGACCCAACTACATCCCAGCTCTATATATACTCTGTCTATATCTATATTAGACAGAGAGGGTCATCAGGAGCCAGTCAGACCTCCATGCAGTGGGAGCATACACACCATGCAACACAAGTCAAAGTTCCAAACATGATCTAATGGTGGAGCCATTATTGTAGATTACTTCAAAAGTGTGATACATCATACTTGATGGAAGGGTTTCCAAAAGGCGAACATAAAAATTTCTCCTGATGATAAAGGTGACCTCACAACAGGCATCTAAATCCCTTGCTATCATTCCCTAAAGGTTCTCAATTTAATTTAGATCAGAAGAACATGCACAATGGTCCTGCAGGCTTTGAGAACCGTTGTCCCTGTTGTTATGGCAAGACAAGGCAAGATAATTTGTATAGCACAATTCATACACAAGGCCATTCTTAGTTACCTAGTATAACTGTAGTTCTATGATCGGTGCGTAGCCCCTTAGCTACGCTATGGGTGTGACTCCCAGATGCTCCAGACGCTCCTACCAAGGACGCCCGAAGAACACTGACAAGCCCCTTCCAAGGGCAAAAAAAAAAAAAGACCAGAGTTAAGGCCGCTCCTACCAAGAACGCCCCGAGAATTCTGTCAAGATCCTCTGCGAGTAGCGCAGGCCGCATTTCAGGACGCCTCTACCAAGAGCTCCTGAAGGAATGGCGATCAAACCATCCCCGGAGAACCAGGGGCAGGTTCTCCCAGGACACTTCTATCAAGATCTCCTGAATTGGGCGGCCTACGCATACCCACACTAGACCCTAGGCTGCCTCTACCAAGAGCACCTAGCGGTCCAATCGAATCCCAGCGTTCAGAACGGAGAGGGCGACCAACCGTTCTGAAACGTCGACCAGATACGATTGTGCAAAAGAGGACGAAGCCCAGGACACCGCCTGACAGACGTCCTCCACAGAGGCCCCCCCGGAGGAGAGCCGTGGAGGCCGCAACCCCCCGTGTGGAGTGCGCCCTGAACCCCACCGGGGGAACCAATCCCTGAGCCTGGTACGCCATGCGAACCGCCTGGGAAACCCAGTGCGCCAGCTGCTGAGAAGTCAATGGGGCGCCCCTGTTCTTAAGGCCCAAACACACAAATAGCTGATCAGAACACCTGAAAGAAGCTGTAACGTCCAGGTAGCATCTCAGCATCCTGATTGGGCACAAGAGATGCTGCTGCTCTTCCTCCTCCGAGGCATGAGGCGGCGATAAAAGGCGGTCGGTCTGATCCTGATGACCCTAGATCTAAAGGCCGAAGTAACGACCTTGGGGAGAAAGGCTGAGTGATTCTGAAAGGCTGGGTTGGGCCAAAGCTCTACCAGACCATACCCAGCTCCAAACGACAAACAGGCCGGATGAATGGAGAGTGCACACAAATCACCCGCCCTCTTAATAGAAGCCAAAGCCATCAAAAGGACGGTCTTGAAGGCAACACATTCCGGGCTAGCCTGAGACACTGGCTCGAAAGGAGGCCCCGACAGGCCCCTCAGGACCACCTTCAGGTCCCAGACCGGAGGCGTCCTCCTGAATACAAGCCTCTTTCTGTGGGCCCCCCTAAGGAAACGCTTGACCAGCGGGTGGGAACGGGGGGGGGGACCGAGAAACCCCCAAACCCCCCCGTGACCTGAGGCAATGGCTGCCGCGAACAAGGTGCCTGCCGCCCTCGCCATGGTGCCTGCCGCCCTCCCTTTCTCTAACAGCTCTTGGAGAAACCCCAGTACCCCCCCCAGACGGCAGGACATGGGGTCCCGTACTGCGCACCAGTCACTGAAAACCTTCCACCATAGGCCATAGGCCCTGATAGTGGAAGGGGCCCTCGCCCCCTGAATGGTCTCCACCACGAAATGGACTAATGGGAAGAAGATGGATGGATGGACAAACCAAAATGTTGTTTTAAAAAGATACAGAAATGTCCGAAAATAAAGCAAAGGTTCTTGAAATCAGACTAAATGTCTTCGTCTCGTTGGAGAATTGAACACAGAATGTATCAGATAAAAAACACTGGATTCAAGCAGTTATTACCTCATATTTGATAATTTTTTGCACTGTATGTACTTTTCAGATCTAAAGATTTGTGGTCATACCTGCAGGTGAAAGCCAGATCCTGTTAGACCTTTGTAGCTAAGCATGGTTTGTGCTGGGATGGGAGACCTCTGGGAACAGCAGGTGCCACGGTGGGGCGGCTGTGGCTGTAAAGTGCCAAACTGTGGTTGTGTCTTTAGGCAAGACACTTCACTCACATTAGAATGAGGCTGGTGTGTGTGTGAATGGTTGTTGGTGGTGGGAGGGGCCGATGGCACACACTGGTTGCCTCTCTTCTGTCAGTGTGCCCCAGAGCAGCTGTGGCGGCAGTAGCAGTTTATCACCACTGTGTTTGGAGTGAAAGAATAATGTCCATTTACCTTCACACTTGTTTCACCAAATATTTTATGGATATTATTCCACATCGTAAAACATCAGCACCATATTTATGCTCAGCTCTTGCAGGAAAAAAATCTCTTTAATATTGACTGAACTCTCAACTCAGTCATTGCCTTTTGGATCCTACATTTCTCCAGATTTCCACTCAATGTTTCTTTAATTTATGGCACATAATGTTTTGATTTTCTAACTCACCACAAGAGTCGATAAATCCATCCAAAGCACTAAATAACATGAAGAATTGATCAAGTTTATGAAGTGAAGTACTCCAGCCGCAGCAGGAAGAGGGGGCAGCTGCTCAGCTTCCTCATTGGTCAGGCCAAGATGGCAGTCTATGTAAGCAGGAGGAGGATGGTCCAGGTCCAGAGTGAGGTCAGTCCTTGGGCTCTGCTGGTCCGAATGGTCCAGGCCAGACTCGGGCTGTAGTTTGGACTCTACAGGCTAAATGGGGATCAGGAGGGTTTTGAGGAGCGCTGGGGGTTCAGGGAGGTGTCCTCTGTGAGGGACGGGGAGCTGCACTTTTCTGCCTGTTTATCTTTGTAAAAACATATGAATTGAACTGAGTGTAATGTATTGCACTGTTTAGTTATTGCCAGTATTTGTACATTTGCACATTTATATCTGATTTTTAAACTGTGTTTTAACTTTTATCAATTACAATATTGTAATTGATGTTATAAGAGGGAAAGGTTTTAAAAGAGCATAAGGTGTTAAAACAAATATACCATAAGACAGAAAATAAAGATATTGCATTGTTATCTTTAATGATTAGTTAAACTGCAACACCAATTGAGGAATAGAGCCAGCAACAAGAACACAGCCACAGTCAGAGCCGGCATCAGTATAATCTGTGGACACAAAGAAGGAGAAATCCGGTCACATTCATTTGGATTTAACAGTGACTACAGACATATAGATGTGGTGCAAAATGAGCTTATCCACGGCATATTCAATAGTAATAGTAATGTGCTAGCAATATGGCAATTTAGCTCAATTATGTAGTAGTCCAGTGATATAGCTATAATTACAAGTAATAAGTTATCCATTATATTTTATACATCTGACAAAAGTGTGAAACTTTCAGAGCAACCACACAGGAACCGCTCAATAGTGTCTTATTTTCTTTTTTAATTGTTATTAGGGATCCTGAATGGGAAGAATTGACAAAAGCAAAAATGATAACAATATAATTAAGTCAGTACACTCTATGTCTAGAGCGTTTGTTTCCAAACAGGGACAAACCACATGCACTTTTCATTCCACCCACAGCTGCTATAGCCACAGCTGCCCTGGGTCACACTGACAAATCGTACAAATGGCTAAAGCAGACCCTCTTCCATCACCACCAAGATGGACTTTTTTTTCATTCATCTCTATATTTATGTACTCTGTTGTATTTATAAATACGTGACATTCTAAAACCATGTGTTTTATGACCTAAACGACCTCTAAGTGGGAGGCCAGTCCTTCTTATTTTATTTTAGGTGTCTTCTTGTGCCAGCAACTGGACAACAGATGGATTCTGCTGTTTGGATTTCACCCCCCCTAGTCTTGGCCTGCTGACTTCTGCACTTTTCAACCTCACACCATCAGGAGTCTGGCAGACGGAGGAAAAGGCTGGACCCTAGACCGGAAGCTGGCTGATAGGACACTCCCCTCCTTCCTGTTCTTTTTATGCTCTGGCTTGGGGAGACACAGAAGGATCAGCCGAGGGCCAGAGAGAGGGACATATATAGTTTTAGGAGCACTCTTTGTTGGAATTTCTGTATCTGATTGTAAAGATAAATTAAATACAGATGTTAAACTTGGAGATCTCTTGTCTTACTCTTGCATCAACTTTGTGCACGTCCAGTCAAGGGAATTATTGACTACAACTCCTATAGTAAGAGAAGCCTTTAAGATTACTGTGATCTGTATTTCTAGATGTACTTAGAGCATTAATCAGTCTTTTTTGCATCTCTTCTCCCTGTTTCAAGTGTGGCGGATGAATTATGACAACGGTCTTAACTTTATCCCTGCAATACAAAAAACAATGCAAACAAAAAAAGTTGGACAAACAGCGTCTTACAAGCCATAGCAGGTCATCACGTTTATGTTGATCCTTTCCTTGCCCACATGTGGTCACATCCTGGCTCAGGAAACACCGGGGCACCACTCGCACTCCCCAGTAAATCCTCTTGACTCTGCGAGAGCTACTGTCCTGAACGTCACAGCGGTACGTCCCTGCAGACAGAAACAGGAGACATAAAACCATGAAATATGTAAAAACCAGCTGCTTTTTCCAAATAGAGGCGAATCTAACACTGAAGTATTTTGGATTTGTGTAAAAGCAAATCCATAAAAGAGCAAGAATATACCATACAGCATTGACTCAGGGGTCTGCGAGGGTATTACAGGGAGTAATTACAATTATTTTCTATGGCTAGGCATTATTTTAAAGGTATCAAGAAAACTACCATGCTGTTTTGGTCCACTTTTGCATCAGTCTAATCTGTTGTGATTCCTCCCTGCTGCTCCCCCTCCTGTTTGGGTTCCTCTTAGTGTTGAAGTTTATTTTGTACTGATACGTTTCTTTTTTCATTTTTTCATTCCCAGTCCCGTCCTGGTCCCATCATTGGTCAGTCTCTTACCTCCTCTCCGCCAGTTCTTACCCTAACACAATCAAAAAGAATTATGAAGAGCCTGGGATAACAGTTTTTTAGTTTTCCTTAATAACAGGGCTGGAAGGTTGCGAAGGCCGTAGAGGTGCCTGCTTTTTCCTTCAAGAAAATAGCAGCAGTATATTTCACAGAATATTGAACTGGAAAAACAGACAATAATTTTCCATTTATATTGACTCATTTTGTGTCTACGCTGATTGATTTGGAGCGTAAATTTATGACACTCAAAGTTTGCCCAAGTATTCTAAGTATTTCATTGCATGTGGCTTCCCGGCCGCAGTAACTGGGCTGTATCGCTGGACAGATTTGCTTTGTCGGGCCTTGTCTCTGGCAGTGTGAGCGTGTGCAGTGCTTCTACCGGCATCCCTCTCTTTAACAGGGTCAAAGAGAATGTGGTCCAGCTTCAGAGCCTTCCAGCGAATAAACAGCGCGTTGTTGGAGGTGATGATCCCAGGAGAGTATCGCCATGACACCCTGCAACGTCACATCTTCATGAAATAAAACGTGACACAATGAATTTTGAAGTGACACAAATTATTCGTTCACAGGTCGTGTTGCAAATAAACTTCATAATCCGTTCGTCAGCTGAATGGTTCTTTAAACAATAAATATTATGCATTATTTTTGGTTATAAAAGTGATCATGAGGTTGTTCACATTTTCTGTTTAAGAATTTGAAATCGATCTAAAGGTTCTCTGTCCAATTTTTACAGTTGCTTCAAATGAAAAAAATGTTCACTAATAACAAATGTGACCTTTTTAGGAATATCCACCATGTTTTTAAATTGTTGTCATAGCACAGAATTTGAAATATAAATGTACATGAGAGCTGACGATTATCTGTGTCAATGCGCCATCTTAAAATACAGTGGTTGATCAGGGACAAAAAGGATCTGAGAATCACATTTTCATTTGAGAAGTGCTACTAATATTGTCCTTTGAAGCTACCGTAGAACCATAGACTGCATTATATGATCTTGACGCTAAATGGGAGTAAAAACCACACACCTTTAAGTGAAACAAATAAGGTTAAAAGATGTTTTTGGCCTGTGACTCCCAATGCAACCAGATTTATTTCTTTTTTTGTTTATAAGAAAATGACAAGCTGCAAACACAGGAATGGGATTGTAAAGACAAGTGAAAAATTAACAAAACTAATTTGCGGGCAAAACTGCTCTGCGCATGGTGTCAAAGTGGTTCAACAGGGGCTTTTAGAGAGAAGGGCTGGAGTTGTTTGTGCCTGTGATCCTGATGATATTGTGGAGGGACTTAAACAAAACATCCAGGTCTGTTTTTGACAAGAGAATGTTCTGGAATGGTTTCAAACTCAAAGTTGATTTTACATAATTTCTTTCCTTTAAGTCATAGTGATTTTACCTCCAGGAGTAGCGGCCCACCTCCCTCATGACCTCCTCCATACAGTTCAGACGGAGCTTCTGTCCCTCAGTCACAGTGAGGGTCTGGAGCCCACACTGCCATGAGTCCATGCAGGTCACAACGCGCGGCCGGCATCTTATGGTCACCTTCCACAATAACAATTACATCATGTGCTATTCATGCTTTTGTTCAGTTCAATGCTATGGTCACCAATGCCGGACAATGGAGATAATTGATATTCATGTCATGTCATTTTCTACCCCTTAATTATTCCATTTCTGGGTCGGGGGGGTGGGGGGGGTGTCAATCAGAGCTGCCACCAAAGTCTCACAGCACCAGTTCCTCGCTGATCCTCCTGCAGGTGGTGGGTCCACGGGAAGATGGCTTCTCTGTCTGGCCTTGGTCTTTCAGCAGGGGCTTCAGGCAATGTGGGGTTAAGTGTCTTGCCCAGGGACACAACGACAGCAGACATCAGTGGGAGCAGGTGACATGGGTCGTGGGGGGCTCGAACCCACGACCTTTGGGTTCCAAGACCAGTGCTCTTCCAACTGTCGTTCCATAATTGATATTCTATTATCAAAATGACCCAGGACACCCTAGGTTGGAGGTCGATGATCGACTTTGTTGTCGTATCATCTGACCTTCGACCGCGTGTCTCGGACACTCGGGTAAAGAGAGGGGCGGAGCTGTCAACCGATCATCACCTGGTCGTGAGTTGGATCCGCTGGCAGGGGAAGAGGCCGGTCAGACCTGGCAGACCCAAGCGTATAGTGAGGGTCTGCTGGGAACGTCTCGCTGAGCCCCCTGTCAGACGGACTTTCAACTCGCACCTCCGGGAGAGTTTCTCCCAGGTCCCGGCGGAGGAGGGGGACATGGAGTCCGAGTGGACCATGTTCTCTGCCTCAATCGCCGATGCGGCGGCTCGTAGCTGTGGTCGCAAGGTCTCTGGTGCTGGTCCCGGCGGCAACCCCCGAACCCGGTGGTGGACACCGGCAGTAAGGGATGCTGTCAGGCTGAAGAAGGAGTCCTATCGAGCCATGATGGTTCGGGGGACTCCTGAGGCAGCTGTCCAGTACCGGCAGGCCAAGCGTGCCGCGGCCCGGGCTGTTGTAGAGGCAAAAACCCGGGACTGGGAGGAGTTCGGAGAGTCCATGGAGCATGACTATCGGTCGGCCTCGAAGAGATTCTGGCAAACCATACGGCGCCTCAGGAGGGGGAAGCAGTTCTTTGCCAACACCATGTACGGTGCGGGTGGAGAACTGCTGACCTCGACTGGGGATATTGTCGGGCGGTGGAAGGAATACTTTGAGGTTCTCCTCAATCCCCCCGTCACGTCCTCTGTTACAGAGGCTGAGGATGTTGGGGCGGATACATCCATCTCCCTGGCTGAGGTCACCAAGGTGGTTGGTAGCCTCCATGGTGGCAAGGCTCCGGGTGTGGATGAGATCCGCCCTGATTATCTAAAGTCTCTGGATGTTGTAGGACTGTCTTGGCTGACACGTCTCTGCAACATCGCGTGGCGATCGGGGGCAGTGCCAATGGAGTGGCAGACCGGGGTGGTGGTCCCTCTCTACAAGAAGGGGGACCGGAGGGTGTGTTCCAATTATCGTGGGATCACACTCCTCAGCCTCCCTGGTAAGGTCTACTCCAGGGTACTGGAGAGGAGGTTACGGCCGATGGTCGAATCTCGGATCCAGGAGGAGCAGTGTGGTTTTCGTCCCGGTCGCGGAACACTGGACCAGCTCTATACTCTCCATCGGATACTCGAGGGTTCATGGGAGTTCGCCCAACCTGTCCACATGTGTTTTGTGGATTTGGAGAAGGCGTTCGACTGTGTTCCCCGGGGTGTCCTTTGGGGGGTTCTCCGGGAGTACGGGGTCGGGGGTCCTCTGCTGAGGGCCATCCGATCCCTGTATGACCGGAGCCAGAGCTGTGTTTGCATTGCCGGCAGTAAGTCAGACCTGTTCCCGGTGCATGTTGGCCTCCGACAGGGCTGCCCTTTGTCACCGGTTCTGTTCACTGTATTCATGGACAGAATATCTAGGCGCAGCCAGGGGTCGGAGGGGGTCCGGTTCGGAGACCACAGGATTTCATCTCTGCTGTTTGCGGACGATGTTGTCCTGTTGGCTCCAACGAACCAGGACCTGCAACATGCACTGGGGCGGTTTGCAGCCGAGTGTGAAGCGGCTGGGATGGGAATCAGCACCTCCAAATCCGAGGCCATGGTGCTCGACCGGAAAAAGGTGCCTTGCCCTCTGCAGGTGGGTGGAGAGGTCCTTCCTCAAGTGGAGGAGTTCAAGTATCTCGGGGTCTTGTTCACGAGTGAGGGAAGAATGGAGCGTGAGATTGACAGGCGGATCGGTGCAGCGTGCGCAGTGATGCGGTCGCTGTATCGGACCGTTGTGGTAAAAAGGGAGCTGAGCCGAAAGGCAAAGCTCTCGATTTACCGGTCAATCTTCGTTTGGGGCGACAGTAGCTCAGTTGGTAGAGCATTGGCCTTAAGGCCAGAAGGTCGTGGGTTCAATTCCCACCTCTGCACCTTCTCCACCGACTCCCACTGATGACTGCTGTCGTTGTGTCCTTGGGCAAGACACTTAACCCCACTTTGCCCAAAGCCCCCACTGAAAGATCAAGGCTATGCTCACACTCAGAGAGCAGCCGTCCTCCTGTGGACTCACCACCTGCAGAGGGTCAGTGAGGGGCTGGTGCTATGAGACTTGGGTGGCATCTCTGATTGCCACCCCCCTGACCCAGAAATGGATTAAAGGGTAGAAAATGGATGGATGGATGGATCTTCGTTCCCTCCCTCACCTATGGTCATGAGCTTTGGGTAATGACCGAAAGAACGAGATCGCGGATACAAGCGGTCGAAATGAGCTTCCTCCGCAGAGTGGCTGGGCGCTCCCTTAGAGATAGGGTGAGGAGCTCAGTCACATGGGAGGAGCTCGGAGTAGAGCCGCTGCTTCTCCACGTCGAGAGAAACCAGTTGAGGTGGCTCGGGCATCTGTTCCGGATGCCTCCTGGACGCCTCCCTGGGGAGGTGTTCCGGGCACGTCCCACCGGGAGGAGGCCCCGCGGAAGACCTAGGATACGCTGGAGGGACTATGTCTCTCAGCTGGCCTGGGAACGCCTTGGGGTCCCCCCGGACGAGCTGGAGGAAGTGTGTGTGGATAGGGAAGTCTGGGCGTCTCTGCTTAGACTGCTGCCCCCGCGACCCGACAACGGATAAAGCGGAAGAAAATGGATGGATGGATGGATTTTTGTAGGCACTGATAAAATCTTCACACAGCTACAGTTTAATTAATTGAAGTCCCCAAGTTAAAGTCGGAGTACTTAAGTAACCCAAAAACATAAGTAATTAAATTCTAGCTCTCAAAATTGTTGGTTCTACAACTAGTTTTCACATGCATGTATTTTCTTTTTTTCCCCTGTCGCATCAGATTTTTTGGTGAATCAGCTCAATTATTATTATTATTATTATTATTATTCATGAATGTGCTGGAAAACGGCTGCAAGTCCTAAGTAGCTCTGAAACATTTTCTGCCTTACGCTTTACAATTTGTATTTCTCTTGATTTTTTCTACCTGAGATGTTGCTGCAGTACAGTTTTTATGGTTTTACACAGGTCCAGACCGGAGCAGAGAGGATCATGATCCGAACCAAGCAGATCAGGTGAAAATCCACTGGAGGAATGCTAACTTTTAGAATATAGAATATAGCATATAGCTTTTTACTTTGGACTAGAGCAGAGAAAATGGTCCAAACCAAGCGGCTACTCGACCTTGTGACCCGTCCTGCTCCACCCAGCCGCCACTCCATCTCTGCTGCTGTGACCTGTGGTGCTGTTGCTGATTATTATTAGTGTTAGCTTTTTAGAATTATCAATTCTATTATTTCCTTTTTGCTGCTACTGGACACTTGAATTTCTCCTATAGGGTTGATAAAGTATCTATCTATATAAATATATAATCATTAGCCATAGAGAACAGTGTCGTCCCCTTTAAAGTTTTAATAAATGTAATTAATCTAATTCTTAGTTTTATTTGCCAACACGATATAAAGCACAGACAAAATATCCTAATATTCATACAGAGCCATCCCAAGGAGTCTGCACATAATCACATTCTATTGTGACCAAAACGATTTGAATTTGTTTGTGTAAACTCTCAGTCGTACCGGGATTATTCAAAACAAAGGAAGGTCGCAAAAACAAATCTGAACCCACCTCCTGCTTAGGGATGGTTTGAACCAATTTTTGTCTCGAGCCAGAATTTTAATCTCCTCATCGTTCACGGTGTGGTTGGTGGCCTTGAGGGGGAGATGAACAGCCGATTGTGGCCCACTAGAGTTTTCTCTACAATGTTGGTGAAGTCGTTTTTGTAGAGTTTGTTTAGTTTCTCCAATATAGTGGTCAGTGCACTCCTCTTCACTACATTTCATTGACTACACCACATTGCTCTGTTTGAAAGGTTTGAAATACACATTTGGTGGTTCCTAAAGATTCTTTTTAGTTTCTCTGAGACTCCAGCCACATTAGGGAAGGACACTCCCTTCCTCCTACTTTCTACTATTGTTTGGTCTGTTTTCTGGCCATTCTCGTCCTTTGGGCTTTAGTAAAAGACCACTTGGGGTAGCCACATCTGGAAAGTGCTCTCTGAACATGTTTGGTTTCTCTGTCCTTTCCCTCCGAGCTTGTGGGGACCTGGTGGGCTCGGTGTTGGAGCGTTCTAATGACCCCGAGTTTGTGTTGTAGCGGATGATTTGAATCAAAGGCCAAGTACTGGTCAGTGTGAGTGGACTTTCTGAAGACCTCAGTCTCTAATTGTCCGTTCTCCAGTATGATGACCTTACAGCCTAGAAAGTTCACCCTCCTTAGCATTCTATAAAGTACATATTATAAAAGGGTCCACAGAGTTTATGTGTTCTGAAAATGATTCCACTTCCTGTTTCTTTAACTTAACCCATGTATCGTCTAGCTACATATCGAAACCGCTTGGCGCTGTCCCTTGGTGAGACCTGGTCCCTTGGTAAGAGGCCAGGACTCCAGTTTCTCCATTTACTGATTGCCACTATAGATGAAACTGGGGAGCCCATCGCACAGACATGAATCTGTCTAAAGAAAGTGCCTCTAAATTGGAAATACGTGGTGTCGAGACATATTCCGAGTGTTTCACAAAGGTGGTCAGGCGTGAAAAGGATGTCACATCACACAAAACCATTGTCTAATCTGTGTCAAACGAGGTGTTTGAAGCTATCCGTAGTTTGCATATCAGTAGTTTGCATATCCGTAGTTTGCATATCAGTAGTTTGCATATCAGTAGTTTGCATATCAGTAGTTTGCATATACATGTAGTTTGCATATCTGGTAAGAATGTAAGGTGAGTGCCTGACCTCTGGGCCTTTCCCGTGGGTGTTTTCATCCAAAGCTGCTGTGCTGTTCTTCAACAAACACAGAGTCTGTGTTCTCAGACCCAGACCACAGGAGGCGCTGCAGGGTGAGCTGGCCGTAATCATCTCCAGTTTGTCATCCGCGGATTGAACATCTCCCAAAAGTTCTGGCAAAGATGGATTAAAAAACAGCCACAAGATGAACCCACAGAGCCTCACATTCATGTTGATCACGTGAAGTTCCAGTGTAACTCTGCTGTTGTTACGGCAGCGTGAAGAAAGATGTCAAATATATTTCAAATATAAACAACCCTGATATGTCACCATGTTGAATTAAGTTGCTGAACATGTTAAATATGTAGTTTCATAAAGATTGAGTTAAAAGTAAAGCGTTGCTATAGCTCCGATGTGTGTCTTAGTTTTTGTTATGACAACTGTTGCTAAGGAGTTTTTGGTTAATAAACTAGTCCCTTTAAACAAAGCGTGTAATTGTTTTGACTATGGTATTAGCGAATAATCAACTTGAAGTAATGCAGTTGTATGACTCAAACACACTCTGGGGAGTAACAGCAGTGAGTGTAGTAATTTATCCATCCATTTGCTTCCGCTTCATCCGTTGCCGGGTTGCAGGGGCTGCAGTCTGAGCAGAGACGCCCAAACTTCTCTATTCACACACACTTCTTCCAGCTCGTCTGGGGGAATCCAGAGACATTTCCAGGCTGTGAGACACGGTCCCTCCAGAACAGATGCCCGAGCCACTGCTTGGATCCGGAATCTTGTCCTTTCAGTTGTTATCAATTAAGTAATAGAATCAGCTTTTTCAGATTCACGCGGGTATAATCTAGAAATTCAGGTGTCCAGTAGCAGCAGTAACATATGCATTCATACACACAAAACAAATAAATAAAAACAGCTATCAATAGTATTAAAATGTGTGTGTACATGTGTGTGTTTGACCTGTTTAAATGAGCAATATGAATGTGAGGTTTTAACAAATTCTGCACGTGATGCCTTGATCTTTTATATATTTTGGCCAACGTAAACTGTATATCCATGTATTTTTGTTATTTTAATGTAATATAACATCAGCCCAGGGACTACGGGTGGAAAGTAGATCTTGAGTTGTAACCTGGTGCAATGCATCTTTCTCTTTTTAGGTTTTTGCTAATTGTTCACTGTCTCTGTAATTTTAAATAAATAAACTACACTGGGCAATCTGAATTAGAATACATACTGGACTATCTAAAGTATCTGTCAATCTATCTATCTATCTATCTATCTATACAGGTATTTCTATCTTGTTTTTTAAGCACTTTGAGTTGCCCCAAAAGGAAAAATGTTGATAAAAAGCCTGTTGAATAAATATTACATTTAAAACTCAAAACAAAACACAGACATGATTGGCTGATTTAAACAGCTTATAGTGTAAAATCAGTCAGTCTTACTCACAATTCTCTGACTATCGTCTTTACCCTTCACATATAGCTCAAAAAGGACTAGATACATTCTATTCTGGGGGAAAAGACAAAACAAATGAAGCTGTCCAATTATCAGGCTGCTCTCAGGACTTAGCTCATTAACTCGCAAACTTTTGCAACTAAACAGGCCCCAAATCTATCAAAGAAAAGTTTAGAGTGTTATTGCAGACCCGCTGGTGTAATTTATCACATTTAGGGAGGTGACAGTCGTTAAGTGGATGTGCAGTAATTGTGCTTGGCCACCTCTACAGCAGCTCATCAGGGACACAACTAAGATGGAGCCTTTATCTGTGCCCACAATTGAAAGTGGCAATCTCACTTTCTCTCAACCTGCATGTCAGTTTCTCGATGCTTTTCCCGTCCTCCAAAACCTGACAGTCGGAATCTCTGCACTTGACCTAGTCTGGTCTTATCAAACCATGGTATTAGATTCATTTTGTACTAAGGTCTGGATTATCTCCATTGAGCTCCGTTAAGGACAGTGTACAATAAACGTCAACCTAAAAAGAGAAAGATGCATTGTACCAGGTTATAACTCAAGATCTACTTTCCACCCGCAGTCCCTCGGCTGGTGTTAAATTACATTAAAATAACAAACATACATGGATATACAGTTTACGTTGGCCAAAATATATAAACGATCAAGGCCTCACGTGCACATTTTGTTAAAACTTCACATTCATATTGCTCATTTAAACAGGTCAAACACACACATAAACAAGTTTGGTTTAATAATAACCATTTTTTTGTGTTAAGAATGTGGGCTTGCTGTCAGCTCTGTGGGCAGCATGTCACTTTACTTTATCAACTTATTATCCTGCCCTTTGTGTACAGCAAATAACTCCACACTACTGCATATATTTTTTTTTGAAAGACTGGTAAGCATTTAGATCATTTACAGCTAGGTAAGAAACATAGCTACTATTTATTTTGTATATTTTGTGTGCTTCCTGTGTGCTCTTTCTACTGTCCTGTCTGTGCGCTGCAACATTGACATTTCTCCACTGTGGGACGCATAAAGAATCTCTCTATCTTATCTGATGTTCCACTGACGAAAGGTCACACAAGAAAAAGCAAAGTTTCTTAAAGCTTCCTGCGTTTGAGGGTCCTACACTTCACTCTCTGTGGATCTGTAGTGGCTCGTAGTCTTTCACTGGTGGAGCAGCGGTGTCCTGAAGGATCTTACTAAAGAAGTAAAGATATGTACAGTATATTGGATCAAATAATCAAGGCTTAAGATGTTATATTTTGTAAGGATGTGATGGAAACGTCTGCTTTTATAATGTGGATTTTTAGTGAGCTTTTACATAGTGACTCAAGCGGCCGCAGGACGGATTCAGTTGCATTCGTTGCAATAGGTATGAGATGAGAGAGTGACTGGATGGTGTTGATTGGGGCTTTGTGGCTCCGGTGTGTTCGGCGTCTCACTCCCGTCCTCCATGTGGGTGATGAATGATTGGAACAATATACAGTATATATAACTTATAAATAACTCTGAACATTGTAAAGCGCTTTGGGTGACCTTGGTCTTTAAAATACGCTATTTAAATAAACATAACTTACTTACTTTCTTTCTAGTAGCTTGCAAACAACTTGTCATACAGTAAAGAAAATAGGGAACAATAATTGCATTAAGATAGGCTCCTGAGTTTTATGGTTGTATTGATCAGGACACATTATTTTGAAAGACTGGTATCGAAGCATTTATAGCATTTACAGATAGTTAAGGAATACAGCTACTACTTTTTTGTATATTTTGTGTGCTCCCTGTGTGCTCTTACTACTGTCCTGTCTGTGCGCTGCAACATCGAAATTTCCCCACTGTGGGACGAATAAAGGAACTCTTATCTGAACTTATGGATGGAAAGTAGCACTGTAACTTGTGCATTAATATACAGTTTAAATAAAAAGTGCAGGTGACTAACACACATATTAAAATACAATTCAATAAAAGTGCAAGTTACTAAAATACATATTAAAAAAAAGCTAATTTGAATCATACACGAAGGATCTAGTGCAGTCATCTTTTTGATGTATAGCTGCACATTCTCTTTTAAAAATCGAATTTGAAGCTTAAAGGAGCAGTTTGCAAAAATCTGGCCAAAAGTGGTACTGCAACCTCTCCCACTCTCCCTGACTCAGGTTGCCAGATATGCAGACGAATCCAGCTGGGACCATAATATCTGAATAGACAAGAGTTTTTCCATAACCAACACCTTTTTCACAACGACCCTGATAGAAATCCTGCTTTAATTCCTTGTTTTGTTATTTGCGATTTGAGATTCACAGCGAGACCTTTTTTAGTTCTGCAGTCACATGTTACTTTACCAGTGAGAACATCTCTATGCACTGAGTTCTGGCAACCCGGATCATGGACTTTCTGATTGGTTAAACGATGGAGGGCGGGACATCAAAATCAAAACAATAACAAATATTCAGGGGTTGTAAAACTAATTTTAAAAATCCAAATATCTCGGCTGAACTACTGTTATATGTTAGAAGTCTTGGAAAAGAGCATGGTTTATTAATGCCTTTTGACAGATTAGGGCCATTTAATGCTGACTTGACATTAAAATCTCACATATTGCTACTATAACTAAACATGCTTTTATACGCCATCATAAAACATAATTATTAGGACCTATAGCCCGGCTACAGCTTCAGCAGTGCACTGAGACCCTGTGCAGCAGTTGCCATGGTCACCGCACATGCTCAGAAGGTGTGTAGGGTGTTTGTTGACTGGCCTTTTGAAGTAACGTCTCCCGAGGCAGTGATCTGATGAGACGAGTGCGCACTTCACTGCTCCTCTGAGAGCCTCATTAGGAGAGCTGACACATGTGTTTATGAAATTAACACAACTTCAACAACAACTTCAGGCACGAACATACAACAACACTCAAAAGCAGCAGGTGGAGAGCTTCATAAAGTACGAATGAACCTATGTAGGTGCATGTAGGTGTTTGATGTTGCTCGCAATCTCAACTAAAAGGAGTGCATCAAGTGTTTATATATATTTTTCTAAATGGGAACGAACCAAAACCTAGTCTGTTAAAAAGCTCCAATAATATTCGGCCAATCAAAAGAGCCTTTTTGCTCCACACAAAATAAATAATTATTCAAAATAAACTGAGGGAAAGAAACAAAGTAGAAAATGCTCACCAAACATATATTTGCACTTTTCTTTCTGTGATTGTAAAAATAGTATTGAGATAGTAGAGAGAGTCGGAACTAGACATGGGGAGGCTGCGTTTCAGAATCATGCAGCTAGAGTCTGGAACCGTCTTCCCGAGAATGTGAGACAGGCGTCTACTCTAGCAGTTTTTAAAACTGAACTGAAAACAGTTCTTTTTAGCTGTGCATACAAGTGAATGATTTTATATCTGTTTTTATCTTTAATCTTTTTAATGCGCTATGACTATTTATGATTGTAATCCCTTGTGTGATTTTAATTGGTACGGTTTTTAACTACTTTAACTACAAGATATATAGATTTTATATATCTTGTGCTCTTAATCTGTCTTTTTATGTTTACTTAAATTCTAATGTTTGATGATTCATGCATGATGTTATATGGGTTGTGAGGCGCTTTGCGTTGCCTTGTGTAGGAAAGGCGCTCTACAAATAAACGTTGATTGATTGATTGATTGT